GGCCGGAGCTTGACACTGAGCCTGCGACCCGAGCCCGAAAGCCCGCGATCGATGCGCTTCAACAGATCCGCCGCAAATCCACCCTTATTTCCGCCGCCGCTGTTCCTGACCGGCGAATGGCCGCCTCCTCGCTCCAGATCGCCGTCGGAGCCCGATGAATTTGAGCGCAATAATATTGTGCGGTCGCTGAAATCGCCGCCCGATGACATATCTCCGGCCACCGTTCAGATCTTCATAAAACCATTGCTTTCAGATGTACAACACGCGAAGCTATACATACACCTCTTAAGGGGTTTTGGGGTTCGTTACAAGCTAATTACGTTATTAATTAGTTTGAGTTGGAATATATAATATGTTTTCTTCCATTGTCAAAAGGTCCATGTTTGGAAGTGTGATTGACTGTGACTATAATAATTAAAGTTACATAATTTAAGGGTAATAAATAAATAGTAATTGCTAAAATTTAAGCAAGGTGTATTATAAATTGTATTGTGTTTTTGTTGTTGTATTCATTCCAAATTATTAAAGACTTTTTTATATTTTAAGAATTCTAATTTGTTCGGTTGATATTTTTAAAAATTCTTACAAATGTATTTATTTAGATTTTTATAAATTATAAAAATTAATAAGCCATTCAATTTTATTTATCACTTTTATTTGTTGAAATTTTTAAGATTTGTTGTGATTTTAAAAAATACATAAACAAAATTTCATACCAAATTGCACATCAAAAAAATGAGATTTCTAAGGATTCCCTTTAAATATATACTAGTACAGAGCCCTGCGATGCACGGGGTGCACTTTAAGGCTATTTATCCAGGCTTATAATTATATACATGAATAAAGAAAAATGTACGTGATATATATAGTACGTGACCCGTGCAAAGCACGAGATATATTTATTTGGAGAATATTATATTATAAGATGCAATATTCAATAAAAGTTTATAATATGCAAGAAAATTGTACAATGTTCAATAAAAGTTTTATAATATTCAAGTGGAGTCTTAAAATCTCTTGTACATTAAGATTTCTGACAAAATAATATTTTAATCAATGAGTTTCCTTTCCTTGTAGCCAATTTGTGAATGTGATTTGAGGAGTACAACAAATCGATATATAGCTGACTTGTTTTTTTCATTGTAGTTTTTTTTTTTATAATGAATTTAAAGATATTCTAAAATATAGCAAAAATTAATTTTTTTTTATTACAAATAGAAATTTTACTAATATAAACTCTCAATCTATGGTGTTAATCAACGTTTAAGTCTAAAAAATTAGGAACTTTTACCTTTTTTACTCAACGTTTAAGTCTAAAAAACAATAGAGTTATTATAAGTTTTTTTCTACATCTTTTAAAACATTAAATATGAGCATGTTAGGGCTAGCTTGTAAATAATTAATATATTATCTCACTAAAACATTTATACTAATAAAAATTTAATTTTAGTATATAAATTTATCCCTTGATATAAGATAAAGTAACAGTTTTACTTATTGTTGTTCACCATATAATATTTAATTATTATTTTATTATATAATAAAAAGAAATATTGTTAAATAGTGTAGTAGAATTGTTGTAAAATTATATGATTTTTTTTTTACAATATGGATTTAATATTTTTTTATGATTTAATAATATAAATAAATGTATACTTAACTTTGACAAATAAAACAAATAAATACTTTAGTAAGTATTTAATGTATATACTAAATAGGAATATATTTGGTATAATCAAATACCAAATATAATCAAATAAGTCAAAGTGTACATTTTTATTTAGTATTTGATTTTTTTATTATTAAAATCTTTTTATTATACTTACCTTTTTAAAATAAAATAAATAAATAAATCAATTAAATAAATAAAATATTATAATACCAAAATAGTAATGGCATTTAATGCAGTTTTTCTGAATAGTAAATGTAGTAAATAGAATCTCCTTTTATATAAGTATAGATTGTATAATACAAAAATAGTAATGCAATAAATGTTGTTGACTTTTCTTTATACTAAATCTGGTAAATGGTATACTTTTAAATAAGTATATATATATATAGGGGTTGGTTCAAATAAAAACTAGTCCTGGTGTGAGAACCGTGAGAACCATATTTGATGTTATTTTTAATTGTGTATTATGCTATTTTTAATATCACATGGTGCTATCATTTTTACAAATGCTAACATAAATTGTGTCGCTATTTTAATAAAATACATCCTGATTAAAAATAGCACTAAAATACAATCAATCATAGCACTACATACAATTAAAAATAACGGTTCTCACGCTAGAACTTAGTTCTCATTTGAACCAATCCTATATATATATATATATATATATATATATATATATATATATATATATTAAAGTTATAGGTTTTAAGGTCTTAAAATATGGTTCAAATTTTCAAATAATACACCCTTTAATTTTGTAGTAAATATTAGATTTATAAATGCATAGTTGATCAAGTTTAGTTATCGATTGCTACTGTTTTATAATTCTAATATCTTTTTGTGTTTCAGAGTAGTCGATACTCTATACAGACATTAACTTTTATAATGTGTTTTTGAAATTATAAAACACTTATTTGAGTGAAATTATAAATATATTTTAAAAGTTAATAATTTTTGTACTTATATCAATTTTCATATATGATATGTTAAATTAAAGATATATTGACGAACACTAATTGACATGTATATTGCATAATATTTACTGAAAATAATAACATTAGTTATCAAGCTCATAATATAATAAAAGTTAAGAAATTTTGTAATATAGAATGGATAAGTCAAGTGGAGAATGTAATTTTAAATATAGGTACTAATGAAACTTTTTATGAAATATTTGAAATTTAAAACAAAATTTTCCTCAAGAGAAATCAAATATTTTAGTTAGGACTACAAAAGTCGTGCCTAGTAGTTATACAATTACAACTAAGTTGGAAAGGAATAGAATGAATAAATAATATATATTTATAAAATATAATCTTTTAGAAAAAAGAAAATATTTGATATAGAAAGGCACCCCTACAAACCAGCTTTAGAAAATGACTTATAATATTGTCAGACATTAATAACTAACTAGTGTGTACCCCGTGCGATGCACGGGAACAATATTAAATTAACAATATTATAAATAGACTTCGAGTTTGAGTCAATGGCGAAAGTGAAAACTATTATTGATCCTATTTAAAAAGAGGAAGAAAAAAAATAATTATAAATAAAAGAGGAGGATAAACAATACTTAATAATAATAAATTAAAGATTCGGGGTCAAACAATGTAAAATTATTTTGTATAAGAGAATATAAAAAAAATTGATTACACACCATTTCAAAATATTTATTATACTTTTTTGTGTGGTTAGCTTAGAATATTTGTAAAAATATTAGTAATTAGACCGATGAAAATTAGCTTCTTAAAGTAGATAATGGATTTCTAGTAGTAATTAGAAATTGGTTTCTATTTTATTTTATTTTTTCTTTTTAAAGATAATGGATTTCTAGTAGTAATTATGAATTGGTTTCTATTTTATTTTATTTTTTCAAATCTGTATAGATAAGAGATGAGATTTTTTAAACACGTAAGACGCAATGGGATTTTGTAACAGAAGAAATAAGCTCGTGTAGATTTATATTAAAAATAAGAAAAAGAAAAACAAATATTTATTGTCAAAACGATAAACTAAGAAACATGAAAAAGAAAAATAAATTTTTACATAATTAATGAGCAGATTTTTTTGTTTATTCAGATTTGTCCAACAATTACTATATATAGGATATATTTAATGATTTTGGTGGAAAAATGTTTCTAAATTTGTAAAAAAGTTATTCTTTTTATATAATGATAGATAATTAATAAAAATGTTAGGTTGGTCCTTTTCTAAATGGATTAACTCTAGGTAGCGTCGTGGCCCAATTGATCAAACCGAGTTGTTAAAAAGCCCAACTTTCATTATTTAATTGCCCAATTTCAGCAAATGCAATTGGAGGTGGTATCGGCACTCAAGGATCCACTTGTTTGTTTTGTTCATATATTATTTTTACCATTTTTTTTCTTTCAAAACCATAGATTTGTATTATTATTGGAAGACTCTCTTCCTATATTGTTCTCTTCTATCTTTAATTAGAGTTTATATGTAGTTTTTTAATAAAAAAATGATATGTGTATTATAAATATAAATAAAAAAATTACAAACTAGAAATCAATTAACATAACATAATAACAACTACAAAAATTGAATCTAAGAAAGTTGCACCTGGTAGCCTAAATTCTAAACTATACGCAATAAACACAAAAAACAAAACAAACTTAACTCCCATACAAGAGGATCAGACCGACGTAACGAAGCGTAATGTGTGTTGGTGATAAGAGAAAACCTGTCGTCCTTATATAGGACTTAATACCTTAGGGTCGAAGAGAAATTTTGTTGGGGAAGATATCCAACCAGATTTTACTTTTCTAAGTTACCACGTCTCTATCTTGGTAAGAGTTATTGAGCGAGTGATTCTTTTCTCCTCACTTGGATTCTTCCTTCTTTTACTGTTTTAGTCTATGGATCCTTAGGTCGTGAATCTGACCTCTTTACTTGTATGTTGTGGCTATCTCGAGAACGGTTATGGCCTTGTCTTGATGTCTAGACTGATCTCGTCTTTAGGTCCACCTTGTCCTCAGGCCATTCGACCTCGATATCTTGAGGTCGGTTACTTTGCCGGCTCCTAGAGGTGAGTACCTCCAGGTCGTATCTGTTTTAATAGCTTGATACCTTAAGCCCAGATCTGAGCTACTTGACCGAGCATCTCACCTTTGTACCCTTGGGAGCTCTTCCAGCCCGGCCTTAGCCGACCTACTTGCTTAGACCGATGTGCCAAGCTACTTCCTCGTGCTACATCAGTGTATGTGAGAATAAAGGAGTCTTAGTAGCTCAAAATGTTTGTTAGAGTTAGAAACAAACAAGTTCGAACTACGACAAAAGGTTAAAAATTGTATTTGGAACAATGCAAAAAATTGTTCCCGTCATGACGCGACAACTGTCACAGAGCGACGACCCAGGCGCAACCTGGTCGCATTTTTTGGCTTTCAAGAGCTTCCGGCTCAACCAATTGCATCTATTTTCACACTCGTTTTGAAACGTATCTTTTGATCTAAAGACGTCGTGGAGGTATTTTCTTACATCTATAATACCATTGTACTAAAAATCGATCTAGACGGCCGCCTAGGTGCCAGCGGACCACCTCTGATTTGCATGAATCGGCTGAAAAAATCGCCTAGGCAGCTCGGCGGCGCCTAGGTGGGTCTCGGCGACAATTTTTTTTTTACTAATTCTAATATTTTGTTGTCATGTTTTATTTATAATATATCAATATTATTATTTGGACTTAGGTCTATGGATTTATCATAAGTTGAAATAGTTTTATTTTGAAGGTTGTGAAAATAAATAAACATTAAGGTTATTATTTTAATTTCTAGGCCTCGCCTAGGCACTCGGCTCTGGTCGAGCGCCTAGCGACTTCTAAAATACTAATAAATACCCTCATGCATTAATTATTTATTAAAGTTGCAGTTTAGAGCTTTTGCATTATCTTTTCCTGAGTTCATATAGCATATTGCATTATTTAATTTTTCGTTAATTCTTAAGAGTTTTCAAGCATTTGTATCATTTGCTAATGACTTGTATACTTGATATATCGCGTTATGCAAGTCAAAGTCGATGTATGTTGTTGGTATTTACTGTTAATGGTGTGTAATTTATGAACAATTTCGTCTTAAAGAAAACGTAATTATTTCGTGGCTCGACTTTAATTTTCATTTGTTTTCTACATCTTCCTTAAGCTAATTTCTTGAAATTCACATATCATCCACCAATAAATCATTTTATTGTATCACTACTTTATAAGAATAATCTAACTAACTTGAGTGTTGAAATTTATCCGTAGGTTCTAAAAAACATTATATTCCTATTTATACTTAATACAATAATATTAGAGTTAATAAGTGTGTGATTGGATATAAATTTTGAAAAACCAATCAAATCTCAAATTTTACTCAACATTAACACAATATCACTATCATCAATATAATTAAATAATATCAATCAATCATTCTTAAACATCACATCAACTTTAAGTCACTATTCATCCACTCATATAATTTTAACTAACATCACTTCCAATCATTTTTTCTACTTTACATCAAATCAGATTTAATTATTTTATTTTAAGTATTATTTTAATATCTATACTTATATTAAAGGGAGTCCTATTTACCAAATTTAGTAGCTAGAAAAGTCAACAACATTTATTGCCATTACTATTTCCATGTTATACAGTTTTTATTTAATATTTGTTTTTCTGTTACGATATTTAAAAACAGATATGGTCAAATTCTCTCATCATTAATTACTTTCCATTAATTACAATTTATTTATTTATTATTTTCTTAGCAAAAACGGACCAACATTAATTAATTTCCTTAAAATGTGAAAGTTGTTGTTTTATTTTTGTACAGAAAATCGGGTTCATTATAGAAATTTGTTCAATTACACAATGAATTTTCTATGATATAATTATTTTTTATGGGAATTTTTTTTTAACAGAAAAATATGGCATTTCAATAAGATTTTTGATTTTTTAAGACTGATCGTTATCATGCTATGAAATTGAACATTCCAATATACCTTAACAAAATATACACATGGTGTATACATCACTTAATAGAAATATAGAATCCTCATATTTATATATATATATATATATGTAATTTTTCTATTACCAAATTTAATTGATAGTTGTTGTGTTATGGGTTTTTTTTCATAATTGTTACTTAGTTGTTGTGATATTTAGTTTGGTTGGTGTCGCAAAAATTCTAATCTATATATATAATAAGAATAATCATTACAATGCAAATTAGAAAAATATTGATATTAGAAGAGATTGAGTTCATGGCTTTTCTTAAATTAAAGTTGTTTAATTAGTATACAAATTAAATTCTAAAAAAATATATGTGTATATTTTGTACATTATTTATACACTATTTAATTTTAAATTTATTTACATATTTTAAATTGATTACTTATATAAATAATACCAACGTGCATTAAATATATTTCCTTACATAAAATAAAAAGAACAAGAAGACGTGTAACTTGTATAACTTTATAAATAATAATGACATTATATGACAACAAAGTTTAATAATTAACTATTATATAGTGAATAAGAATAAGTAAAATTATTGTTTTCTCTTATATCAAAGAATAAATATATATAATAAAATTAAATTTATATTAGTATAAATGTGTTAGTGAGATAATATATTAATTATTTTACAAGTTAGCCCTAACATGCTCACGTTTAATGTTCTGACTAATAAAACAACGCTGATTAAAAGATGTAAAAAATAGATTACAACCCTATTTTTCAGACTTAACGATGATTAAAAGAGGTAGAAAATAGATGATAATTCTTTTCAGACTTAAACGAGACTTAACGGTGATTAAAATAGGTGAAAAATGAATAATAACCCTTCTCAGACTTAAACGGACAGAGCCTATGAAAATAATTCATTTAATATCTCTCTCCCGTGCATCGCACGGACTACGTACTAGTTCCCATTAACAACTAACCATATTACTTTTTTTAAAATTAAATATAACTAACAAAAAATTAATAAAAAAAACCAATCAAATTCATATCCATTCACAACCTAAATAACAAATCACAATTTTACAATTAGATGACAAATGCAAAATTTAGAATGTTTATGTATAATCTATTGTTT